CCCCATTTCTTACCCCCTTCCTCCTTTCTCTTCCTCCCTCTTCCCCCTTCACTCCCTTCCCCCTCCCCCTACTCACCACCTCAACTATTTCCAGGGGAAAAGGGTGGGAGGTTTGTTCAAAAACAGGTTTCCACAAAGCAAAATACCTTGCAAACAGTTCTTATCGCTTTTCTCTCTTTTTTCATGGCTGCTTTCAGTTTCTCTTTCTCTTTTTTAGCAGTTGCTGCTTTGAGCTTGGCCTCTTGTTCTTCTTTTTCCTTTGCCAACCGTTCTGCTTCTTCTGCTTCTTGCTTTTTCTGCAACCGTTAAAAATATAATGAATAAATGTATGGTTTGCTTCATCGACCCAACAATTGTGTTTTAATACTACCTAGCTTTCGACCTCTCCATTAAAAAATATTACCTTATTAATTATTTCTTTGTTCTCGTAAGAAAATGATGGTAAGAGTTTGCAGTGGTTAGAGGCGACGCATTAGCATCAGCCAACCGTGCTTCCCTAAGGAATTATCGCTTTTTGCTGCGATTTTTTTTTGCGATTTTGTCCATAATAAATAATGGCAAAGAATTTACTTGTAAAGTTTTTTTCAGGATACCAAGATTTTCCTAGACGAATGTCTCTTTTGAACTATGAGACAAAATATTTCATATTTCCGAAAATTGCCACAAAAATCGCAGCAAAAATCGCCAGTGTAAACGGGGCTTAAGGCGTGCATGTGTTATCATCCGTTACCTTGATCTTTTCTTCTGCAGCAGCTTTCGCCGCTTCCTCTTTCGCTCTTTTCTCGGCGAGTTTTCTCTCTTTCTCTTCCTCTTTGAAACGTTTTATTCGAGGGTCACATGCATATGCGTTATCTGAAGTAATAAATTAAAGAAATAGATCTCTTGTTATTTAAGTGTCTTGCGGTTCTAGCGTTTTCGCACTAATTGGAAATACTTTTTCACTCACACACACTACCGCTACATTCTATGCACACAACGCCCAACTCACATGTTGATTTTTACGGAGGGAGGAAACCGGAGAAACCGGAGAAAACCCTCGTAGCATAGGAGAGAATGCAACTTTGATCATTTTTGTTCATTTTGTGACGAGCCTCAGCCCAATCAAGTGAACAATAATAACAATAATAATGATGATGATGATGATGATGATGATGATGATAATAATAACAATAAAAACAATCATAGCAAAAATTAATTGATCATTTTAGACTGTTATTCTTATTTTACCTATCAATGTTCTTATTCTTGTTACTTCTTCTTTCTTTCGTTTTTGTCTCATTGCTTTATTTTGTTTTTCTATCCATCGCCTTTCATCTCGACTGAAAATAGAAAATAGTTAGATAAGGAATATGAAACGCGCTCGCGTATTTCTGTACAAATAGAAAATGCGCGCGCGTGCTGTGCAGTTAAAAAGCACGCGGGGGTTAGCAGAACACGAGAGAAGTGTTAGGAGAAGCATGACGCGTAGCGGAGTGCTTCTCGACACTTCTCGAGTGTTCTGCCAATCCTCAAAGTGCTTAATAACTCCACACAGCACAGCAAGCAAGTTTTTTATTTCTTTTACAAAATACAAATTACAATAACTGATATTTTAGATAGGAATGACGCAATTGAAAGTGTGCGCGCGTGCTGTGTGCTCTCGTATTTTGTATTAGTGTAGACAAAGAAAACGGAGGCTTTTGAACTGAAACGCTGACTTCATACACACCGGCACGTCTGTTCTTTCACATGCGTAGACGACAGCAATCTGTGTTTTTGATTATTTTGGTGTTCGGCAGCGAAAACGCAGGCTTTTAAAAACGCTGCTGTCACTTACACCGGCACGTCTGTTTTTCGCATGCGCAGATGATGGTATTGAATCATTCCCCATAGTATCTGCGTCCTTGATTGTTTTAGTGTGGACAGGCGAAAATCATATGAACACGCTAGTGTGAACTCGATGCTTTCGGAGCGTAAGTAAGGGGCCTGATTTTTTGGCTTCCATCAATCAAAAACAAATTAACACAGATCGTAAAAATTAAATTGACAGAAGTGAAAAACCCAGGACTCTAGAACTACATTTCGTTGTCTGGATCGTGGGATAATGAGAATGGGAATAACATACTTTTCGCCTTTCTCTTTTTCTTCTTCGTCAAGGTACGAAAACTCTCTCCAAGAATCAAAATTATACCTGTAAATAAAACAGCACAAGATGTACACTCAGCTAGACATGAGTATCTCGAGTGTGTTCTTTTAAGCCCCGTTTACACTAGCGATTTTTTTGCGATTTTTTTTTTTTTTTTTTTTTTTTTTTTTTTTTTTTTTCCGATTTTTTTGCGATTTTGTCCATAATAAATAATGGTAAAGAATTTAATTGTAAAGTTTTTTTCAGGATACCAAGATTTGACGAATGTGTCTTTTGAAGGATGAGACAAAAGATTTCATATTTCCGAAAATTGCCACAAAAATCGCAGCAAAAATCGCCAGTGTAAACGGGGCTTTTTATGCGGGGGTGCAAATACATCTGCAATTTCAAGGTGTCATCAAGAATTCTAATCAGAACATTTGGTTTTCAAGCCCCGTTCAAAATGGGTTACAGAAAGACTTCTTTACTTTGGGAGTAATATTCCCAACTCAGACCACGTGTCATTCTCTTGAAAATAAGATTCTTTGAGTCTTTCAATTTGCAGCTGCATAAGCTGCTTCGCATACTGCGAGGATCCGCTCAATTTGATACATTACAACCGCAGTACAAATATATATTTCATATATATTCTCATACACATAAAATAAGATTCATCGTTTGGGTTGTACCGTGCGTCTTTTCATGCACCCACCTCCCTTTAAACAAAGAAACGATACTCTAGGGAATGACATGTCATGTGGTCTGAAATGTGAAAACATTATGTCCCAACTAAAGAGCATTTCAACTTGTCAAGAATTTTGTAAGGAGTATGTAGACGTTAAATATGCTTTATGAGAGGATTTCAAAAACTTGCCAGAAAGTATAAAATTTGTCCACTTCTTCAAATGTAGAATTTTCATGACCAAGTAAAGGTACAGGCTCGATGTTGGACCATCTGATAAGAGAAATGGGTTTAATTAGTGAGGATATTTAAATAGTCTAGGAAATAAGAGAGAAAAAGAGAGAGAGAGAGAGAGAGAAGTGGGAGGGGGGGGGGGGAAGGAAGGAAAAAGGAGAAGAAAAAAAACCCCCGGCTACGAACGGACGGACGGACGGACGGACGGACGGACGGACGGACGGACGGACGGACGGACGGACGGACGGACGGACGGACGGACGGACGGACGGACAAGGAAGAAATAAAATAGAGGAAGGATGTTGCTAAAAATTTTAAAAAATAACGTATCATATACAAAAGCAGTTGGACCAATAGCTATATGTCTACTAAATAACAAAGAAGAGTAAGATAAATTCGAAACCGGTTTCAAAACATGTGGATAAAAATGATGTCAAATATTATATAAATCTTAGATTATAATTACCTGGCATTACTCTCAATAACAGGGCAAAACACATCAAAGAAATTAGCTTTGTTGTTGGAGCTTATTGTAGGCACAACGTCATCAAACGTCGGGTCCACACTGTCGTAGGCTCGTCTTCTATTGGCACTACTCAACACTTCGTTAGCGATTGTTATACACGAGAAATAATCTTGGTTATTGGATGGTAGGCTGCTTGCTTTCTCTCCTCTGCTTTTTTTCTTGTCTGGATGATGCTTCAGGACTTTCTTTTTAACTTTTTAGAAAAAGCAGAGTATTATAATAATTATTATTATATTCAGCTTAGATAGAACGTGTGTGAGTTCTGATTGTTTGAGAACTGTGCTTTATTGACGAAATAGAATGCGCGCGCGTGCTGTGTGCAGTTATAAAGCACGAGGGGGTTGGCAGAACACGAGAGAAGTGTTAGGAGAAGCACGATGCGTAGCTGAGTGCTCCTAGACACTTCTCGAGTGTTCTACCAATCCCCAAGTGCTTTATACCTCCCCACAGCACAGCAATCAGGTTTTTTATTCTTTAAATACAAATTACAACTGTTATTCAGAAGAGAGGAATGACGCAACTGAAAGTGTACGCGTGTGCTGTGTGCTCTCATTAAGGCACGTGCTCTCAACCAATCAGAAAGGGATATTTATAACACTTATTTTACAATAGTGAATGTGTAGCAAACTTTACAAAGAATTGTAAAAAAACAGCATGTTTCTATATATCATCAATAAAACAATTAAAGTAGCTTTGTTATAGTGCTCTGTTCAGTAATAAACAGGGGCGTAGGAAGGACTTGATTACAGATTGGGGGGGGGGGGGCAGTGTACCATTTTCCTGCCAAATTCACAGGAATCCCACATGAATTAAATAAATTTTGGTGCTTAAAAAACACTTTTAGGGAGGCACACTCCCCCCGTTCCCTCCCCGCCTTAAGCTAGTGGTAATAAAGCACTTACTGTAGAAAGTGCTGAAAGCACTCAAAAAGGGTTTTCTTCCATGCTTTCAAATTGATATACAGTACAGCTTACGGGGATGTTAACATTCCACGCGTGCCGACCGCGTGTAGTACACTTAGCGTAGTACACTCCTACACGTGTAGTGGCCGCAAGTACATTGAGTACACGATATTACGTGTAAAAACTACACGCATCTGATTTCCTCATTAACTAGTGCCTATTGTTCATACTCACAAGCATGAAATAAGTTCTAAGGAGTTAATGAAGCATGGAATAAGCTATTTTGTTTGTAAAAAAAAAAGTACATGTTCATGTTGAGGTTATTTCATGGATTTGAATAATTTTACTCTAATTTTAAAAACTAACAACCAAATACAAACATCGCACATATCGGCTGATCATGACTTACAAGCTTTTTTAACTTGGTCTTCTGTTGCCTTGTACCTCAGTTTTGTTAATCCAAGTACGCGGTAGTGATCTTGATCCTAGGAGGCATTTTATTTCATTAAATCAAAATATAATGACAAATTGAAAATATAATATTGATCAGTATATTTTTAGACTTGAATATAGAGTTTCTAGAGCTGTGATTGGTCGAGCGACTAGTGATTCTAAGACGATAATCACCGCTGGAACAGCAATTATGAGGTTTTCCTACGTTTGCTTATATAGCAGCATCAGTAAGCCTGATCTGACTTATCTAATTTGTTCTTAGATTAATTTTTAAGATTTAATCTTACAGCATGCAATTTAATCTCCGAAGTTGGACTAAAAATTCAAGAAACAGAAATCAAAAATACAAGGAACTAAACTGGCAGCATGGGGATGCCCTATTCACCTAGGGGCACATCCTAGATCCCCTCCCCCCCCCTCCCCTGTGATGTATGCTAGTGTTCTTGCCCCTCATCTCATCACGTGAGTAAAGTTTATTAGGTCTCTCCTTTGATTGATTCAAGGGGTTATCTCTTAATCACATATTCACATATTCTGTGTCCTAACTTCCAGCAGCCTAGAGGTTGTTTCAGTTGGGTGAATAAGATTGCTTATCATATGACCCATATCTGCCTGGGCGCGAGCTCTTAAAAAAACCTTAGGGAAAATGGCGTGAGCAGGGCCGTATGGCTTTGAGCAAGCACGGCTGCTCCAAAACTTCGACCGTATTGACATAATTTGCAACTTTTAAAATATCTTTTTTATTTAGGGTCATATGATAAAATGCTTATTGACTGAGATAGGTTGGGCCGTAAGGGAAAATATTTGGTGCTTGGTCATTTGTACAGCATCACCTCAAGCCAAATATTTTCCCTCATGGCCCTTCTACTCAGTCAAAAAGTACATAGTGCTAAAGATTTTTTTCCCCAAGGGGAGGGGATAAAATTTTAATACTGCTACCATACAGTACCTTCCAGTCCTTAGGATCCAGCATTAACAAAAAAGTGTCATCTTCATCATCTGAAGTGATGCTTTCATCAGAGCTGCTTGCCTCATCATCCACCGAGCCAATGGAATGATGTGATAATGAACTATGATGCCGATGATTGATGTATGCTTCATACCATCTACCAACTGGTTCAATCGGTTTCAGCACTGGAGCTATAAAATTGAACCGAAAAAAATTCTCAATTTATTAAGCTTTTCATATCATAGCTATAGGTGCACTTCATCTTTAGACAGCTACACCCATACACACATACATACATACATACATACATACATACATAGACATAAGCTAAGAATAAAAACTAGCTAGATTCATTCAAATTTAATTCCTAGAATACCATAAAAAGTTAAAACAATGCATCAAGAGTGTAGCATTTTTGTTGGATAAATCAAACATCAAAATTATAATCAGTCGACAAGGCAACATGTGACAACCTCACAAACTTTGTACCTGAAATTCTTGCAAAAGTTGTAGTAGTCTCATCCTCAAACGCAGGCGGTAGCTCAAGCATATTATAGAGATCCCAGATAACCCAAATTGCCTCTAAAAATATTAAATACTGGCGCGAAATTGTAGAAAATAGTGACAAAATTCTGGAGTTTTTTTCCTTCTTTTCCTTTGAGCCAGTATAATGTCCAGCGGTTTAGTGTACTGATCATGCGTAAAAGGGATTTTTCTATGGCGTGCTTTTCTTGTACAAAAATAAAAGTGAAAGTTCTTCAAAGTAAAACTCTTTTTTTTTGGTGAAAAAGTATGCCTAAATATTTAGAAAATCCTAGTCTCCTCACTAAGGATCAACTCAAGTCCGATCTAAAGACCCACGGAGTGAGTTTACCAAGAGGCGACCAGAGAAAACAGGTTTATGTGGACCTTTATTTGAAGCATTTGACTTCGCAAAATAAAAGTCAAACTAACGGGATATTGGGATTCTCGTCCGACGAAGAAGAAGAAGACAAGCCTTCCCCGAAGGTAAATTAGATTATAGCTACGTAAATTGTGAGTTTTAGTGGTTAGTGGTTAGTGACGTGATGTGGTTAGGTTTTGGGGATGTTATTCTTTGTGGTCTTGTTGACTGGCGTTGTTGCCCCAAGTTTGAATATCTGACGAGCTGACACGAGGACGTGATTTGCTCTTAAAAACCAAAACAACAGGTCTTTAGCTCGATTTTGAGGTGTTAAATCATACAAGACCTTCCTGGATCGGAGCTTTGCAAGGCGTTTCTGTAGCTGCTGAAACCTTTGTCTTTCAGTTTGCTCAGGTGAAAGTTGTAATGTTGACAAAGCGGAAGCCATGCTTGTGCACTGAAAACGTCTTGTAATAGAGAAGTTGTTGATCATATGATTGCCATACAACTGCTTATCCAGCTTGGGAATATATGGTACAATATGCCAGTGGAAAAGGTGTGTAAGAAGATAGAGAATCGTCATGCACAAACCTAAACTTATTTCTAACCTAAGCTTATAATGATTTTATCTCAAGATCAATCATCCGGAAGAAAATCAAAGATTATAAAACCTAATTTCAGTTCTTATGAGCTTAAAGTCAAGTAACTTATCTAAGTCTTTTGTCTTTATTTTCGTTGGAAAATATTTATTATGAAAAGATAATTTAGTCTGTAATCACCACTATTTAACACAAAGGTGTTACTTGGCCACTTAATTTACAAACATTTCAAATAATACCTTTTGAATGTCAATAATAATATTTTTTATTTAATAATTTTGATTCGATGTTCTAGAACTTTTATCGTTTTTCTTGTGAAGGGAGCTTTTTTAATATTTCGTTTAGATTATTTATCAGATCTGAACATTAATCTACTCAATACATGTGTATTTATCAATTTTTTTTTTCATCGCAATTTTATACCAGTGCAAACATTCAAGCTTATTTACAGATTTGTTTTGATAATTTTTGAGAATTATTAACGCATTATTTTAAGAGGGGGAAATGTATTGATAAAATACTAAATTATTTTGCACTACATAATGTACAAAATGTACCTTTTTCCATATTGTTTCATCAGTATTATTTATTACTTATAAAATATAAGCTTTATTAGTAAGTTACTTTATGATATAAACTACTGTGATATGAATCCGCTATGGTGTTTGCACACAATCTAGCTTTCAAATATGAATCAGTTATTTATGCAAAATATGTATAATAATAAGTTTACTATTCTTCGTTTGCAATAGACGTCATAGCTGCCATGTTGGAAGAATTTGACAAAAGATTTTTCAATGAATTCTTTTGTTATATCTTCCAACATGGTGGACATCCCTTTTGTTATTGTGCTCTCTTGCTATTGATGGCAAACCAAGAATACTGCTAACTTTCCAACTGGCTCACAGATTGATTATTTTCTTGACACTAGTATCCTATGTATTTGGTAAATAATATATAAGTTGTGAATTATAAATTCTTAGTCATGCCTCAGTAGGAAGATATTATCAGTACATAATTGAGGTCCTATTAGGGGTAAATTCAGGCAAGCCACAAGGCCTTGAAACAGAGTTTTCTGTCATATCTTAAAAATAGTCATTTGTTGTAGTATAATATTACGTAGGAGGATTAACAATGATGTACTTTTGCACAAAGAAGGGACATTGAACAGCATACCATTCCTTTCTCAGCAAAAAAACAATATATTTAATTGCTATCTAATCTTACAGAGAAAGCAATTGTTATTCTTAGTATAACTTTTTATTTAGTAGCTCAGCTTATTTTAAAATGCCAGTATATGTCAACTTCTGCTATAATACTGACTCACTCAAAACCACAGGAAGCCCAATACTGGCACCTAAGATACAAAGGGTGGTAATCTTGAAGTTATTGTCAAAGGATTTGTTAGTGTATCATTATACTAGATATTTATGGTGTGCTTGCTATTGAAAGCCTTTAAAAGCACTTAAAATGAAATGTATAATGCTTTATTAAATAGATAGGATCGTACGCCCACTCTGATTGGTTGAAACTGACGCTGTTTTTTTAGTGAATGGAGTGCTGATGCCATCCGTGTGCATGAAGTGCTGCTAGATCCTGCAACTGTCTTTCGTTTTGCGCAAATAAATTCAATACCGAAATAAAATCAGTGAATATATGATAAAATGAATAAAACAGCTTTTTCTGTCTTCGGTTCAGTAATAAAGCACTTAAGAAGGGCCGTAAGCACTCAAGAAGTTCAGCGCTACTTTCTTGCTTACATAACTTCCTGCGTGCTTTATTACTGAATAGAGCATGGATAAAGTGGTTTCATTGTTTTGTTTAATGAAGTCACAGATTTAACAATGTACAAAGTATGATAAATCAAATACATGTATGGTGTTGTATCATGCAATATCTGTGATTAGAGAAAATAAATAATGAATAGATTCATATCGGTGACTTACCACAGTAATTAAATTAATATATGTTGGTATGTCAGTTTTCTTTTAATTATTATTGGATTTGTGAGTGGTATATGTTGTCTGTGGATTTTTTTTTTGATTTTTTTGATTTTTATTTTATTATATTATTATTATTTTTTGTTGTTGTTGTCTTTTGCTCGTTTGTCTTTTATCAGTGCATCTTAGAAATAAAAAAAAACAAAAAAACATTAGGATAGCTCTATGTGAGAAAAAATGTTCTTATCTTAAATATTTAATCAACTTTAAATTGGTGGAACATGTATACAAATAGCGCAAGATTAATTAGAGGCATAAATACATGTATCTGATTCTCACGATAAAAGTTCAAAGAAAATTTAAAAAATTAGAAAAATATTAAGAAGTTAATTGGTTTGCCTTCAGTAGAAAATTAAAACAATTTACTAGGATTTCGTTGTTCAAAATTAAAGGCATAGATATCTGATTCTCATCTGATAAAAGTCCCAAAACATTTTGCCGAAAACAAAAAATTAAGAAAATAAGGATTTCATTGTTTAAGATTAAGGAATAGTCAATGGCAGCTTAGTGTCGCTTATATCCAGTTCTGGATGCATGCGGGAGGATACTAAGCAAGAAAGGAGTGTTAGAGTTACACGAGGCGTAGCATCTCTAGCTTCTTGAGTGCTTAAGCAACCGTCCAAGTGCATTCAGAACTGGATATACACACAACTAGCATTGATCATTGCTTTATATAACATAGCAAAACTATAAAAAATGTTTCTTGATCAAAAAATCTAAATCTTGTTCTAACGAAATTCTTAATTGCATAGTGCGTGCTGCTCAATCATGTCAGCGTGTGCCATTCGTTTCTGGATACATGCTCGCACATACTAATTAACCAATCAGAACATGCGTTATATCATGGCTATGTCGTAAAAGACAATGGTTCAAAATTTTTTTTTGTATTTTTTTGTACAAAATTTGAAAATTAAAATGCACTACTGATTTAGAATCAGAGCTGTTAGTCACAAATATACAGTAGTAAACCAAAAGTAAAACAAAAACAAAAAACAAAAAGCAAATGAATTAAATAAATGATGTAAAGTTAATATAATTTATTTAATTTATTAAGTAAAATGTTTTATTTAACTGTGTTCTTAAAAGCTGATTTTTGTTCTCCTTTTATTATCATTTTTATTCATTTTATTTGTTCCTTTTTGACTTTTGTCTTATAAAAAACAAATTAACCTTTACAAGAATTCATGGTTTTATTATAATATGTTATCTCGATGATATTTGCAGCTTTTATAGTCATGCATTAAATACCACCCTTTTTAAGCCTATTTAAAACCACAGTATGAATGAATGAATAATTATCAACCTCTAGGTTAAGCCTTATGTTAGTGTCTAGTGTACAATTCATTATATTTCGTTCCCATCTCCAATCAACACTCCACTAGAATAGGACTAATGGACTCAAGCTCCGAGGAGAAAAAAGAAAAAAAGAAAGTATCCAAGAGAAAGACAGTATTGAGAGCAATTTTTGAATATCTTAAGGTTTGGTTTGAGTTTTTTGGTATATGAGCTATGCAGAATTTATAAATAATATGCTCTACCATGTTTCTTGTTTATATATTAACTTACGAATACCACTGAGCGACTTAAGGTTGGGGAATCATTTACATGTATTCTCTTGACACAAGTAACATGCATGCAGAAAAATTACAATATTTTTACAACAAGAAACTGTTTCTCTGAATTAAGAACAACAATAATATAGACTGAAAACAAGAATTATGGTTTTGTACGTGAGGGCAGACTTTAATGGCCTTTCAATTTCCATATCTTGTACACCAACAATGTATTTCACTAGTTATATAAATACTTCACATTTTTATATTTTTTTAATTTGAGTCTAGCTCAAAAATTTTATATGCATTTTAAAAATACCCATTTAAAAAAATTCGTTTTTTAGATCTAGACTAAGATTATCTTTGTATCATGATTAATTTTTACTGTCTCTATACTGTACATTGTTTGTGTTCACTCGTTGTTCCAAGTTGCATTTGCACTAGAAATTGCATGGTGTAATTGTTAACAAACTGCTTTTTCCTGGCCTATTTTCATTGAAAAAAAAAATCATGTATTTAACTTGTACTAAAGATCTGAATTTTCACTCGCCACACTTCAATTTTGCTTTTAAACAGAGACTATTTTCAATTCCAAAATTTTCACAGACAAATTGATCTTAAATTACATTCATTTTGAGAATTTCTTTTGAGTCTAGCCGAACTAAGAATTAGTTTCAAATGAAATAAAAATCTTTGTGTTAAAGAGTAAAAATAATGCCTCACATAGCATAATAAGAAAATGAGGCATGTATTAAATAATTAATTAGATAAGGTTTGAAGTAAATATTGCAAATTTGATAAGAAAGCAACTTTTAACTCATTAGTTTTCTTGAAGTTGACATCTGATATGTATTAAAATCTATAGAAAAATCATTGTTCAAGTAGAATACACTGTAGGATGTAGAAAAATGTTTTAACTTAAGCTTGTGATTTAGTAGCATTTTCATTATGATTACTATATGACCACCAGTAAAAACTTAAACAGATGTTGATGTTAAATTAATGTTCATTTTTATTTTATTCTCATTGAATTATTTTATTTTTATAAAATGTGCTAAATACTTCTAGTTATTTCTAAAACTAATTTTCGCAGTTGTTAAATATGTTTTCATTTTGAGTTGCTTCTTTTTTTTCTATGTTTCTTTAATTTCTTTTCTCTCTCTCTCTCTCTGTCTCTGTCTCTTTCTTGACATGTTCTTTTCTTTCTTTCTTGCTTGCTTGCTGGCTGGCTGGCTGGCTGGCTGGCTGGCTGGCTGGCTG